TGATCTTTGTACATTTATGAACCGTGATGTACTTGATGAGCCATCTACCCTTCGTCTTGTAGGATTAACTCTTACTTTCAATTTTCTTGAAAACTATATTTATCCCATTGTAAAATTAGCATCTGCTAAGGTTGCATCTTTTCATCATGCTTGCCACTTCCTTTATCTGGATTCTATGCTTTATCTCTATAAAACTCTAATCCATCCTTGTATGGAATACTTATGTCTTGTAGGCAACCTTCAACCATTGTCACATGGTCATAAAGTTGCTTATCTTTCTCTTTTCTATTAATACTATAAAAGAGGCTGCTCAAAAGAGCTAACCTCTCTTGTGCCATCTACTAAAATTTATTGTGTTAATTGTGTTACTTGTAAATCAATTAAATATCATCCTTTTTAACTATTATCAAAGAGCTCCTTAAATTCTTATTTGTCTAGCTTTTTTCCTCAATCATCAGTTTTTTGAAATTAACTCCATTTTATTTTCCTGATTCATATAATTTGCAATCTCTAAAGTAGTATGTTAATTGTTATCTTATTTTAAAAAGTTCATTTTTTCACTTCCAGTAACTTTTAACTCTAATTGTGGTTGATTGTGTTTTACTGTTTTCTTGGGTTATTCATTCTTATACACGCGTCTATTCATTTTTATATGCGCTTTTATTCATTCTTATATGCGCCTTTATTTATTCTAATAGGCACATTTATTCATTCTTATATGCGCCTTTATTCATTCTTTTATGCCTGTTTATTCATTCTTATATGCATTTTAAAAAAGCGATTTGAATTTTTTTTTTAATTTAATCATTCTTATAAGCGTTTTAAAAAAGCAATTCAAACAAAAAAAATCTTTTACATGTAAGCAATTTATTTTGAAAAAATAATTTAATTTTTCAAAATTTTTTTTTCTTATTTACCTGTTAAACGAGGTTAAAAATGCTTAAGTTGAAGATTTTTTACGTTCGATGTTTATATAAGTCGATGTTTATACAATTTAGTATTAGATCTTTGTTTATTTGTATTATTAAATTTTTTGATTGATTAAATTATTATTTAACTAAATACTCGTTTATCTAGATTTAAATTTAATTATTTATAATTATTAAATAAATTTAGTGCTGGCTCGGCAACCATTTTTTAAATAAATTGCAGTGGCAACAACCTAATTTATATTTTAAGTATATCTATATAAAAAACATAAAAGCCAATTTATTGTTTATATAAAATTATATTAGAAGTTTTATGGGTCGTTGACTCGCATATAAATGCGTATAAAAGAATGAATAAATGCGCATATAAGAATTAATAAATGCGCATATCAGAATCAATAAAGGCGCATATAAGAATCAATAAATACGAATATAAAAATGAATAAACACGCATATAAGAATGAATAACCCTGTAACAGATATTGATAATTATATATTTGCATTTAACAGATATTGGTTATTATAATTACAGATATTGGTAAAAAAATTTGTCACTGAGAAATTTTATTACCAATATCTGTTGCAAATATATTACTTTATATTTTAGATTATGGTTTTCAAATAAATTTTATTTTTATTCCATATTAATGACCTAATAGTACTTTTTTTGCATTTAGGATTGCAAAGTTGTTGGTTAAAAAAAAAGAAAAATATTTTTTAAAGAAAATTATTCATTATTTAAATTTTAATTTGTTTTTATAATAACTAATGACTAATATGGTAGCACAACATCAACATGATCAACAAAGATTGGAATATTAAAAACTCATAAAACAAACAATTTTTTAAAACATTTTGATGTGATATGAAACTATATGAAACATGATTTTTCATATAATTTCAAATGAATAAATTTTGAGAACTGCTTGTCTAGGCTCAAAAATTTTTTTTAACTTCGCTAGCTCTATGGTATTTGTAATTTATCATGCTAAAATATTAAAATATCAATTTGGCAAATCAAAACTCTGTCTCCTCACATAATTTGTTATTTAACAACAACAGCAACAACAACAAATACGTAAGATACGGGTTGATGAAAAAATATTTTTTATTGTGTTTATTGTGCTCATTATGTATCGGCTTTTTATTGTGTTTATTGTGCTCAAATGTCTCGGCTCGCTAAAAAGTAAGCAGTTAGCATTTTACTGACTACAGAAGTTCTTGGCTTCTGGTTAATTTTTAATTTATCATACTTAAGAATTATTTAGTATTTTTAATTATTACATTAATATTTTCTACATAATAAAAGAATAAAAGTATCTTTAGCATATAAGACTATCAAGCTATCAATTCTTCAGGTGTTTTTGGAAACTTATGCTTTGATATTATTTTAACTCTCTTATAAGGGTTTGTTTAAAAAGGAAATTTGGACATTGAAAAATGGGCCAAGCCGAAAGAGGCCTAAATATTTCAATCAAGTAAGCTTTATCTGCTTGATATTTTTTATAAAAGCCTTTCTGTAAAAAAAACACTTTACAAATTCATACAATTAAGCTGTTTTCACTGCGGAATTAGGCAAACAAATTTTTAAACCTATTGTTTGTGCAATCGAGACTTAATGCAAATGAAAACCGTCCTGATAGTACACAGGGTGAAAAAAGTATAAGTGGTTTCCATTTACATATAAAAAGTTAACGGAAATTTAAAAAAAATCAAAGCAAAAATAGCCAGTATATCTATTCAAAACTCTAAAATTATAAAGATAAAAAATATAGAAACTTATTTGAGAAACAAACTAAAAAGTTTTCTTGAGATTAAAATAAAAAAAAAAAAATTTTTAAAAAAACTACAAAAAAAAATTGTATTCAAAAATACTTTTAATTACAATAAATGCATTTTAATTTGAAAAATTCTTTCATTATTACATATCTTTTAGTATACGGGAGATGCTTCAGCCCTAAACTTGAATCCACACCTTGTGAGATGTGGGTCCTCTATTCGTTCTGCAAAATGCTTAAAAAAAATTGTAAGATGTCTTACTTGACACAAAATTAAATAATGACATGAAAAAAGTAAAGAAGGCAAAATTGCACTGCAAACCTGTTGCTGATTAAACAATCAAAACCTGTAAGAAAAAATACTTTATGTGTAGCAGAAAAAAATTTTTATAACTAAAAAAACAAAAAAATGTTATCCAACCAAAAATTAAAACTATTCTTACTAAAAAAATAAAATAACAACTAAAAAAATAAAATAACAACTAAATTTAAAATGTTTTTAACACATGATTCTTGCAGTTAAAAACATTAAAATAACTTTGCCTTTACAAGATAATGAAGGTAAAATAGTTAAATCAAACCTAAAATAAAAAATAAAAAATAATGAAACGTTAATTTTTTCTTAAGTATGATTCTTTTTATTAAAAACAATAATATTTTCTTAAATAGATAAGGACACATTGATAAAGAACAATTCTTTCATAATAAGTTTATTACGTTGTGTAAAAGTCATTAAAGTTCTTTCTTATTGCAAGTACTTAATAAACCTATGAATACCTGCAATAACCGGTGGTTATGAAAATTTATTATTCAAAAAATTTTATAAAATATATTTTTTTGACATGGAGATTCATAAACACTGTCACAGAATCTCTTGAATCATTCTAAAATTTTGCATGTTTTGTTGACTAAAATTTTTATGGTGTTTAGCGTAAAAACAAAATGTACAACTCTCAACAAATTTTTTTGTAAATGTAACTTAATTTTTAACTAAATTAATATTAAAAGAAAAAAAATATTTATGTTTTTGAAGAGTATAATTATTTACAAACAAAACTTAAAAAATAGATCAACAAAAATATACATATAAAACTAAATACATTTACACACCTCTTTTATTTGTAGATGTAGATATGTATTTTCCACTGCCCACTATAACTTCTTAAACTGCACTTTTGATAAGGGTAATTCCTTCCCTTTAATAGAGGGAAAATCTTATTGCCTATTCTAGATATAGAAGATTTTATTTAGAATTTGACTATTGTACCCCTCCTCCACTTTGAAACCCATGTTGTTGGACAGAATAATAGAAACTGCTATTCAACAAAAACTTAGAAAATTAAACACATTTATTCACATTTTTATTACATTAAAATAAATACCAACTTTAAACCTTAAGATAAAGATATATTAAAATTTAAAACTTACAATATATAATAAGCTATGAGACTATAATTAAAACAACAATCACATAAATATTGTTATTTAATAGTTAAATAATTAGGAACTAAAAAAGTAAATTTCAAAGATTTTTTAAAGGTAAATTTAACTTAATAAAATCTAACATGAATATTATCACCAGACAATAACACTGTACTTAATAATTAGATTAACGTAAAACATGTTTGAGTATCTAACAAAAAAAAGCAATACAAAGTAAAAAAAAACTAACTTATATCTAAAATATGCCCATCTTCAGCTTCCATAAAATTAACAGCTCAGGGCCGTATTAAGGCGGGGGCGGATGGGGCTGCAGCCCCAGGCCCTTATAAAAAAATAGGCTCTAAGGCCCGTGACTTTTTTTTTTTTTTTTTTACTTTTTTTTTTTTTTTTTTAGGGAACCAGATAAATATTCCTATGTTTCTCAGTTTTTTTAAATCAATTTATTGGGAGCTGCGGAAGCGTTGTGAATAAATAAATGAATAGAGATATAGTTTCGATTTTAGTTATAAATGAATTTTTTTTTTTTAATGAATTTCTTTATAATGAATTCATTATAAAGAACTCATTATAAAGAATTCATTATAAGAATTTATATGAAATCATTATAAAGAATTTATAATAAATTTTTTATAATGAATTTTTATAATGAATTTTTTATAATGAAATTTTTTTTACAATGAATTTTTTTTATAATGAATTTATTATGAATTTTTTTTTTATAAATGAATTTCATTTTTAGTAAATAAATGAATAGAGATTAAGTTTCATTTTTTATTATGATCACTTCCGTTACCGCAGAAAGTCACAGCATTGCTCATTCGTTTACAAAATTAAAATAAAAAATGAAAAGGAGCGGCCTGAGCAGTTGAGACAAAATGCAAAAAAAGAAGAAGAATGAGATTCAATTAAATGAATTATTGAACAAAAATAAAAATATGACTGAGTTTTGTAATACTGCAAGCAGTGTCTCGGTATCAGCTACAGCGAGAGCGAGTTCAAATTCACTAACTATGTCAATAATGTCAGCACCAGTTCCAGGTAGTGCAAATAGTTTATTTTTATTTTTTTAATTTTTTCATTTAAAAATCAATATTATTAGTATTTTCTTCCTTTATTGGAGGTGAACACATCAATTTGATACACGTACTCCACTGTCTCAATAGTAAATATACCTACAGCTCAGCAGTTGCTTTCTTAAGTCATGATTTAAGACCTTTTGTCAGTTTACATATATATGGGTGTCTGGGCCAAAGGAGTGTAGCTGTACCTAACCAGTTGGTAGAAAAATATTAAAAAAATGCTCTAAAACATACCTAGATTGTGTCCTTTTATTAGCAAGACTTAAAAAAAAATTTCTGGGGGGCAGCTTTCCCCCTGACCCTCCTACTTGGGGGTCTGGGGCTCCCCAAACCCCAGTCTGGGGCCTCTGGCCCACTGACCCAAGAGTTTAGCCTCGCTAACGCTCGGCATTTTTACCTTACCACCACATTAGGCTCTCCTATACTTACAGCCCCAGGCCTAAAAATTTCCTAATCCGGCTCTGTAACAGCTTATTGAGAAACAATTTCTACACATCACCCACAAAACATACATGTTTCATTAACTAAAATATTAAAAAGTCAAACTTTAGTAGCTATAAAAACAGATTGAAAATTACAAAATACAATTATAAATAGAATTCATAAATAAAAGTATATTCAATAAATATAGTTTTACGATAATGATTAAAGAGATATTCAAAGATATTTAGAGATTCATGAAAGTTTAAAAAGCAATTTAAATACTTATCGCGTGCACATCTACAGTGCCTCGTGCATCTCATGTTATTTTAATCATCACAGTAATTGATGCGCTCTCGGTAAAGAATGTTTAACAGGGGCGTTGATAAAGAGCTGTATATCTCTAAAGTTTCTTATTATGCTAATATTAAATAGTTTAACTTTTAATTATTTTTAGAAACAATAAATTTTATAAAATAATTTAGTTTACAAATAAAAATAAATTTTTCAATTATGTTCTAAAAAAAAAAAATACTTTTTAAACCCCCTTACCATTTTTAAAAAAAGTTAAGGTCGCCACGTGGCAAGTTCATCAACTTGCCACGCGGTTTTGTTGTTTAGAATGCAAATCAAAAGTTATATAGATTTTATATTCTATATATAAACATGTTTTTTACTAATTTTCCTTGCTCAATTTAGCTGTAAATAAACTTCAAATTTTAACTAAAATAACATGAGTATCTCAATAGTGACACATGCGCAAAAAAAATTAATAAGAGAGTCGCCGATGGTAGGACTTGAACCACGGTTAACATAGTTAACATACTCTACTACGCTGTCACGCTGCGTCACGAAGATTTTAAATTATACAAAAATTGTTTTTAACGGATATAAACACAAAAGATTAGAAATTAAGCAAAGGTTGACGAAATACAGTTCTTAAGTGAAAATCAAACTGTTGAACATGATATATGTTTAAGCATGTATTAACATTACGTAACATGAAGTTTAGGTACGTACGATATGAGTTTCACATTTGCTCACGTTTTCTTATAAATCAAAGGTAAGACTCTTTCTCGTCACTACCTCGGATGAAATGGTTGCCAAGAGTATCGTTTCAAACAGGCTCGAAAACGCACTACTACTACTACTAGTACTACTACTACTACTACTACTACTACTACTACTACTACTACTACTACTACTACTACTACTACTACTACTACTACTACTACTACTACTACTACTACTACTACTACTACTACTACTACTACTACTACTACTACTACTACTACTACTACTACTACTACTACTACTACTACTACTACTACTACTACTACTACTACTACTACTACTACTACTACTACTACTACTACTACTACTACTACTACTACTACTACTACTACTACTACTACTACTACTACTACTACTACTACTACTACTACTACTACTACTACTACTACTACTACTACTACTACTACTACTACTACTACTACTACTACTACTACTACTACTACTACTACTACTACTACTACTACTACTACTACTACTACTACTACTACTACTACTACTACTACTACTACTACTACTACTACTACTACTACTACTACTACTACTACTACTACTACTACTACTACTACTACTACTACTACTACTACTACTACTACTACTACACTACTACTACTACTACTACTACTACTACTACTACTACTACTACTACTACTACTACTACTACTACTACTACTACTACTACTACTACTACTACTACTACTACTACTACTACTACTATTAAGTCCAGTATTATTATAAAGAGATATATATTTATAAACTTTTTAAGTTATATACTTAAGTTATTAATATAAATAACTTAAGTAGATTTTTGTGAGCAGCCGTGGCGCAGTGGTAGCGCAGGATCCTTGGTTCAAGCCTCACTTCTGGGCAAGTTTTGCGACATCGGTTAGGACTAAAGCAAGAATATCCAATTAAAAATTCTGTGAAAAAATTGTGGTGCTCTGTGAAAAAACCGGAAAGATTTCTTGAGACATCTAAATAAAAAAAGTTATTTAAAAAAAAAATTCTCAAATGTCTTGAATTCAATTTTGTTTGCCAACGATACTAACGTATTTTATTCTCATAAAGATAATAATCTTTTGTTTGTAACAGTAAACAAAGAGCTAGCAAAACTAAACGAATGGTTTATATCAAATAAATTGTCCATAGGTATAAAAAGATATAATTTAGCTTCTTCCGTAAACTTCATGAAAAAAAATTCCCTTAAAACTTCCTAATCTTTTATTAAATAACTCTTATGTCAAGAGAGAACATTCGTCATTTTTAGGTTTAGTTTTAAATGAAAATGTAACGTGGAAGTAGCACATAAGTATAATCTAAAATAAAATATCAAAAAATATAAGCCTCCTATTCAAAGCTAAACAGTTGTTAAAATAAGCTTGTTTGAAACTTATTAACTTTTTTTTATCCATTCCTATCTAAATTTCGCTAATATGGTTTGGTGCAGCACTAACGTATCTAACGTGCAGCACTAATGTATCTAAAAATAATGAGCTGCTAATTAAACAAAAACATGCCGTAAAAATTATTGGAAATGTGGATCGCCTCTCACACACAAATATTTTTTTAACAAACTCAAAATACTCAAACTAACCTTTATCAAATTTTTGTATTTATGTTCAAAGTTAATAATAAAATTACACTTACCCAATTTAACTTATTTTTCAAAAAAATAAATCATTTATACCCAAAACGATTATTGAACAACAATTATATTTAACCAAACACAAATGATTCTGCTACTAAGTTTTTTATCACAGTTAGATCACTTAAATTATGGAACACATTAATGAATAGTAAATTAAAAACTATTTCTTTCCTTGATCAGTTTTAAAAATAAACTTAAACAAATACAGTTGATAATTGACAACGAATTAGACTTCTGAAACTTTTAAATAGGAGTAACTTTTTTTTACTTTTTTTTTTTTACCACATTCTTGATAATATTTATTTTTGATCTTGATCTGAATCTTTGAATCAGAAGCCTGATATATAAACAATTGTAACAATAATATGTTTTATAAAATCTATGTTTAGAAATGTGTAAATAAGAGAGTACCTATATATTTTTTGTATATTATATTAAATTTTTGTACTATAATTTTGTATCTTGTATTAGAGTTTCTGAAATAACTTATTTAATATAGAGTATACTTTATAATATATATATATATATATATATATATATATATATATATATATATATATATATATATATATATATATATATATATATATATATATATATATATATATATATATATATATATATATATATATATATATATATATATATATATATAAAAGTATACTTCATAATTATACATATACCAGGATATTTCTATAATGTAAAGTTGATACTAAGGTTGATGGAATGTGAATATGATGACCGACTTTTGATGGACATTGAAACGTCACAATCCTGCTGCTGCTCAACGAATGAACCACAAAGACAAATCACATAGTAATAGATAAATTTTAAATGGAAATCTGTTTTTATATTGCACTTTTGTTAAAAATTTGTAACTTCCAATAGTTTTCTGCATTTTATCCATTGAATATTTTGTGCTGGTTTATTGACTTTTTCCTATATTATTAAATGTTGAACTGCAAAAGTTCTTGACGTGGTATAAAGTTTTTGATGACTCATTTGGAATCAGTAACAAAAATTGCGTAAGAAACACCTATTTACTTGTTGCATTAAAATGCGTTTTTATAATTATCTCGTAACACCTATTTACCTGTCTGAAGTTTTTACAAAATAAAAATTTCAATCAAAATAAAATTTATGTACATGTTTCTTACACAATTTTTTTATGCTGACTTATAATATGTTATCCAAATTTATGTACCACGTCAAGAGCTTTTGCAGTTCAACATTTACAGTTAAAAATGCTACAAAAAATGCATCACTATTAAAAATGCATTTAAATTTAAAATGTGTCTTATGAAATACTTTTTATACTAACAATAAAAGTTTACGTATGTAGACTTTAATTCTTACTATAAGGTAACGCAGGGTCACTTTGACATGTGGGTAACATTGACAAGTATTTGAACAAATGTTTTTATCCGTTACCCGTTAACTATTGTTTAAATCATTTTAACAGATGCTGAAGCGAGATGTCGAATGATCAAAAATAACTATTTTAATACGTATAGTAACAAGTATAAATAAATACACAATATGGCGGGCATAAATTAAACTAACTTCTGTTTTTTTTTGTTGCAAAAAAATTTTCAGTTAAAATAATAAAAAAAAATATTATAATATCTTTTAACATGGGTTTTTATGATGTTGTTTTTAAATACTAAGCATGTAAGATTTTTTTGTAGCATTTTTTTTAAAAAAACGTATACTTCAGTTTTGGGGTAACATTTACAGGAACGCTTAAGTCATCCCATAAGTCAAGAATTAGGCAAAGTTTGGTGGAATGCTTGCTAATGATGAAAATTTCATACTTACATGAAAAAGAATCAAACAAAGCAATCCTTAAATTAAAAGAGTTAATCTTAGATAAAATGTACCAATTTATTAAATGTCAACAGATCTAAATCCGACAAAAACAGATCTAAAACCGACATTCTCAAAAAGTTAAAATCCACATTTAATAATGTTGCATAATAATGGTAAGAACAAAGCATCAGAAACTGAAGACGTAAAAAATTATCTCGTTGTTTCAAATTAAAACAAACACATTTACAGCATAAACATACTACTGTCAATGTTACCCTATATTATGGTAACATTGACAGTTAAACCCCATCACCAAATTTTATTATCTATCAGTAACATTAGATGTTTAATTAAATTCTTCATCTATTTACGGCAGCAATATCATTGGTAAACGTACAGAAATATTGCATACCAAACTTAGTTTGGCACAACTTAAAAAAATATTATTTTCTAAAGATGTGTCAATGTTACCCCACTTTACCTTAAATAGTATACAAAAAATATTAAGTAAAAAAATTCTACATATGTAAAATTTCATTCTTAGTATAAATAGTATTTCATAAGACATATTTAAATTTTAGATGCATTTTTTAATAATGAATTCATCATATAAACTAAAAAACTAAGTTTGAAAAAATCTTAACTACCTTCTAAAAGTACTGCTCTTACTCTTTATGTTTAAAAACATGTTTGTTGCTACAATTAGTGTATTATATCACTTACGTTTTAAAAATTAGATATTTAAAGCTTTATCACAATTCTAATAAAGAGTAGTTCGGCCATGGTACACGATTTTAATTAAAGGGTGGTTTAGCCATAATGCACGATGTTAGTTGTGAGTCACACCTTAACGTCAAGTTTTTGCCCAACTTAATCTGATATTGCTTTGTTTCTGTGTTTAAAAAGTTAACCATAGGTACACAGTTGAGCAGCGCGTTAAGATTGTTGAAGCGTTTTATGAAAATGAGCCTCAAAATGCATTTTGTGGGCTTGTGATTTTTTTTTGGTCAGAATAGTCAATTGCATTTGTTACAAGCAGAACCGCCGCATTTGGGCAATTGAAAATCCAGGATTAATTTTTGAAAAGCTGATGCATCCATAAAATCAAATTACATTTGAATTTACTAAATGCAATTCCATATTTTGTTATTTAAAAATATATACACTTTTAAAACAGCAATTAAAAATTCAAATGTTTTACGATAAGCAATATAGTTTCAAATACATACTTTTACACAAGTGAGTGATGAAAAAGTAACCTTTTCTGATCTATATATAGATTTTGTATTTTATAAAATGCAAAATCCTGGCAACAATTTAAAATAAAAATAGACTGGTTTTTTATTAAACTTGTTTTAAAGTATGAATAATTAAAAACAATATTTTAAACAGTTTGAAGTAATATTTTTAACAAAAATAAATAATTTAATAAATTTTTTTTTGCATATTCGTCACAGACGCTTCACGGAAAAAAAGTATACGTAAAAAAAAATTTATGAAACGAACTTCAAGATTTTAAAAATGTCAAAAATTTGGTTTTTACTATTTTTTCTCAAACGAGGATTATTTCGTAAGTTTTTGTTTTTTTAATTATTTTTCTTATAGGGTTGGGTCGGGGGGTTTAAGTGTAAACTTTGTTAAAAACATTTTCAAAAATAATGTTTAACAAAGGCTCACAATAAATAATGATAGAAAAGTTTTTAAAAGGGTGGAAAGAACAAATTTATAATTAAAACTATTTCTTGTTAACATAGGGGAAAGCAGGAATGATTCGTACACTTTTTACACTAAGTCGTATAAAAGCAAAAATAATTGCTATTTTAAAATAATTTTAATGCTGCTGAGTAGCCTAATTATCTGGCTCTAATAATATTGTAGTTAAGTCTTGAAAAAAGCTAACAAGACAGTACTATGATGTCTTTTGCAAAAAAATGGAGATCGTACGAATGCACCCCAAACGCGGGGTAGCTCCGTTCAGTTTTTTGTTCGGTACTTTAATACTAAGTTAAAAATATATTTATTGAAAATAAACATTTATTAAGATTAAAATTGAAACAAAATAAATATTAAACATAATAAAAATAAAATTATGTATCCTATATGCCGAGAATACATATTTTCTCAAAAGCTTTTCTAATTTCTCCTAGAAATCAGTTACGGCTGTCTGTTTTAATGCGAAAAAAAGGCTGCGCGTGTTTTTTCATCGTATTTACAGCACGAATTCTCCCCACTTATTACTGTACGAATGTACCCCAACCATATCAACTAACATATAAATTCAAAATAAAAATAACGGATAAGGTTATTAGAAAATTATTGATTAGATATTAATATAAGACACTTATACAAAAAGCATAATAAATTATTTCATTAATTGGATCAAAAATTATTAAAAATAAATGTTTTCAAAGATTACTTGTAAAATTACTTTAGGAGTGCAAAAACACGTATCGACTTGTTCTGATGACGATTAGGATAGCACTACCACGGCACTAAGGTGTTAGCCTTTGTACATGAGTGGCCTTCACACACACATAAATATAAATGTATCAAAACAAAGAGTGGTCTAGATATGCCTACTGTACAAATGCTCCCGCTGTACGAATCCTACCTGCTCTCCCCTATGTAGTACAAACAAAATTTACAAAAAAGAATTAAAAAAACAACTATACTCTGTGCTAATACCCGTAATATTCTTTATCATAAAATTGTTTTTCTAAATTTGAGTTGAGTTTTTCATAGAAATTGTTATTTGTTTATTTTTTATTCTTTGGAGTAAATCATAAGAATGGTTTTTTGATGTTTTGATTTTATTAAACATATTGTGTAAAACATTTACACACATCGGGCCGCTTTTAACTAGAAGAATACTTATACAGTAAAAGTATTCTGCTTGTTGAAAGCGGCCCATAAAACTGGTCATTAATAATTAACGTTAAAAAAAAGCATTCCTGCTAAATTGCAAAAATGATTTTGGATTTAAAGTTTTTCCACTTTTTAAAGGTTCTTCCATATTTTACTTAAAAAATATATATATTGGGTGTAGAAAAGGATACGGTGTCCTGTTTCCACTTTTTTTTTTTTAATTTTGAGTTAAACTTTTTATGTGAGGTGTATAATCATTGGAAAATAATTATTGTATTATTTTGGGACAATCAAACATCATTAAGGTGTAGCGTAATTACATGATTTGAGTAAATTGTAGTTTTTGCTCCTATTTTTCAGATTTTACCGCCTTTGTTTGAAAATTCATTTGAGAACATATAGTACTTTATTTTTCACTAAATAATGTTACCTGTAAAAAAGTTGGGCTGAAAGAAAAACATATAGATGCTAAATACTTTAAGGAAATAACATGTTACTGATCTTCAAAATTGTCTAAAACAATGTTAGAAAGAGCTATATGTTATTTTTGATTTGCTTTTTTTTAATGAGAGACACCAGTTTGCGATAATTTTCAACAGTATGAAGTATCTATTGTAGCCGTTTTAGATCTTTAAATTTATATTTAAAGTCTTGGATTAGTTAAAATTCCTTGCTTAGTGCAATTATTAACCACTTCTAAAAACTTTAACGTAGTTATACTCCTTCATCTTCGTCCAATATTCAACAGGTAGTTGCAACTAATTCACTTTGTTAGGTTTCATTTTGAGTAAATTAAACAGTAGCCGGGAATCTGTCCCAATCAGCAACACAAAATTAGGAATTTTATGAAGTTCAATTTGTGGAAATATCAGTTTTTCAAGCTTTATTTGTTCGTTTCTTTTATTTTAAAAACTGCGGCACAACGTTTGATTACAGAATCAGAATCATGAAACAAGATAAAAACAACTAACTGTTGAGTTAAATAACAAATATGCCTGTAACGCGACTGAAAGGCGGCATTCGCTGCTTTACAGTCAAATTTGCGATACCACTGCATGTCACTGATGTACTGGCGATCAAGATTTGGTGCAATGATGGAAATTTGGCTTTGCAAAAAAGCTTTTGCTTTGACCGTTCAATAAAATCCGTAATTCTTTTATAATATAACGTATAACGTTGAATGTTGGTCCTGGTTAAACTAGTTAGTTTGTTGATCCAATATTGCATACTTAAAAATGTATAGTTCATT